TAGCATGTTTCTAGCATGATTAGCAAGTTACTAGCATGTTGTTAACATGATTAGCATGTTACTAACATGATTCTAGCATGATTAGCTTGATTCTAGCATGATTAACATGTTACTAGCATGATGCTAGCATGTTGTTAGCATGATTAGCAAGTTACTAGTATTTTGTTAGCATGTTTCAATGCTAAAACCAGCTAAAACCAGTTGATTTAGTAAAAAAACTGCTAAAAAACAGCTAAGACCAGCCTGACCTGCTAAAACAGTGGCCAAAACCACTTTAAAACCAGCTTGGGAGACCAGCCAAAGCAGTCAATCAGCTTAGGCTGGTTTTAGCTGTTTTTTCAGTAGGGAGTTGTTAAGCTTTGCTATAGCAATAGAGAGCTTAAATACACCATAAGTCTTATTGTATAAAAGTTTTCACACCCCTCAATGAAAGTCTATGGGATTTTAGGTGGTTTTGATAGTCTGGTTTACGAAAACCTTAAGCCGGATCAGTTAGAAAAGATATAGCAACCCGAGTCAGACCAGTCTGAAGGTCTGACCCGAGTTTGGTGGCTGTAGCTTTAATAGTCTAGGAGGAGATACATTTTAAGGTTTGGTCTCAGAAGAAGAAGAAGTTTAAATAGGATTTCAGTAAGTTAGCTTTTTCAAGCCAACTTAATTAAATAAATAATATTTTAAATAAAATAAAAAATAAAATATATCATAGTTTTACTACAATGTATTAAATATCAGCTCATCAGAATGCCAGAAACATGATTTTAGGATTTTCGTTGCAAGAGCTCTTTATATAGAGTTTGATATGCTCACGTAAAGCGAAATATAAAATACAGCAAATCTCAACTACTTGATTGTTTACAGAACGTAACTATATCATCATCATCCATCTCTAATCTGCTAAATGAAAATATTATAAACATATGAAGCTGCTTTTATTAACAAATTTGAAGTAACTGGAGGAAGGTGGTCAGAATCAGACATCGAAGATTACCAATAAACATGAAAAAGTCTGATCGTGGATGGTTTAGAGGGAAACAGGTTTTGCCATCATTAATGTACCTGATCAGCGTGAGGCGGTTCCAGATACCAGAAGCGGACGTGTCTGTTCCCCGCTGTGACGAAATAAGAGCCGTCCTCTGAGAAGGACACGGCCGTCACCTTACTGGACACCTTATTCACCGCCATCAGAGCGCTCTTCTGCAGGAACCACAGAGTGAACACATGCAGTGATGCAGGGACGCGCTGCAGGGCATGCTGGGTGATTACCCTACCTTCCAGGCCCACAGGTTGACGCTCATGTCGTGCTGCGATCCCACGCTCACGATGTATTTGCCGTTGGGGGAAAAGGCCACGCAGGACACGCCGTACTTGTGCTCCTGCAGCTGAGAGACCAGCGAGCCCTCGCTCACGTCCCACACACACACCGCCGCCAGACGACCGCTCTGAACAACACACACCGACCGTTAACTAGTCACACAACCACTGACCACAACTACACACGTGTGAGACTGACTGCTGACCTCTCCAGTGACCAGAAACCTGCCGTCTGACGAGAACGACAACGTGCTGATGCTCTTCCTGAAGAACCACAGATTCACAACACGCAGGTTAATGGAAGAATTCACCTAAACATGAGCATGTGCTGAAAATGTGCTCACCCTCAGTTCATCCGAGACGAGTTTGTTTCTTCATCAGATTTGGAGAAATGTAGCATTGCATCAGTGTCTCACTGCAAGTGAATGGGTGCCGTCAGAATGAGAGTCCAAACTCTAAAACAGAATGTTCCCTTAATTTTCACATAACAGACAAAAAAAAAAAAGTTTTAAAACATTTTTAAAAAACTGGATGTTTTGAACGTTCAGTGAACATTAAGAAATATTTTCATAACTTAATGGGAACGTTAGCAAAACATTCTTAGAACATATTTTTCTTAACTGGGATTATGGATCATGGACTCGTCTTAATGCTGGATTTGTTTCAGCTTTTGTCTTCTCCAGATGTTAACTGATGGACTGGAGTGCTGTGGATTACTTGTGGATTATTGTGATGTTTTTATCAGCTGTTTGGACTCTCATTCTGACGGCACCCATTCACTTGCAGTGAGACACTGATGCAATACTACATTTCTACAAATCTGATGAAGAAACAAACTCATCCTAATCTGGGATGGCCATATGAGGACGTGTTCAGCTTTCATTTTTATCATAAATCCTTTAACATCTGGATGACACTCGACACAAACACTAGAGTATTTATGCCTGACACGACTGAATGACGTGTGATACTGTAGCTCTTCACCTGGATGAGTTGATGAGATGCTGTTGTGTGTTTGTGGCTGGGTTCAGTAACACAACGGCACACCTGAATGAAACAGAAACAAGCACTGCGTTCACTGCGCGAGTCCATTAATAGGCCTAAATCTTCAACTAATCTTTGTATTTTCATTAAAAGCTGGTTAATCGCTGTAATACTCTTGGGAAAGAGCCACAAGGACTGAGATCTGCTTTCCTTACAATTAACAACACATTGCTACAGTAGGAAACAGGAAGATGCCATATTTAATCTAATGCATTTATTAATTTAACATATTTGATGTCTTTCCACAAAAAAAACCTACTTAAACTAAATAATTTTAAAAAGATTTTTGAGAAGTAGTCATGACTTAAAGACAGTATAAGGCATTGAACAGACTGCTCATCTTCCCTTAACAGATTAAATAAGCTCTATATGCATCCATTAACTTCATTAATGATCTTTATGCATGTTGTGAACTCACCCGGCTGGATAGGCCACCGTTCCTGAACACGGATCACATGTTAAACCACTGTTTCCTGCAGTCGTGATGCCCAGGACTTTCTCTAGAGTCACCTGAGATGATAGGAAAAACATAATGATCAAAATAAATATCACTGTATTACACAGACAACAAAACATTTATGGGTGAATCTAAACAATTTAAAAAAAAAAAAAAATAATAATAATAATAATTATTAAATAAATACTTTTACATACTATGTATAATAAATTAATAAACATATAAAATTAATTCTATATATTTAAATATTTATGTTATATATAATAAATATGAATAAATATATAAAATAAATTATTTTTAATATTTCTAAAATAAATATGATATAAATAAACTATAATATAAACACACACACACACACACACACACACACATACATACATACATACATACATACATACATTTATTTATTTATTTATTTATTTATTTATGACAATAAAAAGCAAACAGTTTTTAAGGTGGGGAAATAACTGATCTATAGACAGCAAGTTAATTTGCTTTACTGCTGATTAATGCATTAATGAATAATGATCATTGTTTCTCAGAACTAAAGACCTTTCAAGAGCTCAAAGTCAACACAGGAGCATCATGGGAATGTGCTGATGCGTTTAAGAGGTTTGCTCTGTCGATATTATTATTGACTCTCGTGCTGGATTTACAGTGATGTCGACATGCGAAAGAGTCCGAAAAACACTGACAACATCATCATCTGAGATCTTCAGTCTAGATGAGCTTCACACAAGATCAAAAGACAAACTAATCGGAACTCAATCAGAAACAGATCAAAGGACACGAACTCTTCAGAACGCGCAGCGGTTCGTTTGATGTTGCGTTCGATGTTTGTTACAGTGATGAAATACTTGTTACAAATTTTAAATGATTGTTACAAATGTCTGAGTGACCTGATACATACTGGCGCGGTTCTGAAGCGCAGCGCTATAATAATAATATTATTAATAATAATAATAGCAGTGAGTTTCTTTACCTTGCTGGACAGACTGTCTTTGATGCGGCCGCTGCGGCTCCTTCTGAGTTTGATGGACGGCGAGCGCAGGAGACTCTTAATGCGACTCTTGATGGTAAAAGCCTCCATGTCCCTCAGAGTCCTGCATTCACACACGAGCGCGGTAAACTCCAGTAAAACACCACAGTAAAGTCGAGCGAGTCGCGCTCAGTCGCGTTTGAATGAATCTCCACGGACTCCAGCGGCGCTAATCAGCGCGTCCGGCGATCTGATTGGCCTCTGTGACGCATGACGTTCCGCTGTGATTACATATTCATGAGCCTGATAAAGAGGCTGACTCCTGATGGATTTGGAGTTGGGGCAGAGTAACAATTAACATAAAACAATGAAAATGAAAATGTATTGAAGAAGAAAATAAGAAATGATCTTAAATAAATCCTGACTGCATCACAGCACAGTAGCTGGCAATAAAGCAAGAAGAAGAAAAGAAAAGGGTGTTTTCACACTTGGTCCTTTTAAGTGATCTGAGCACAAAAGATACGCATTGTGAAAACAAACCACTCCGGATCGCTTGACTTTTTTTAGTTTAGCGACCTGCTACGACGGCGTTTCAGTGCCACGTTAAAGAATAATAATACAAAAAAATCTAAGATTACGAAATTAAAGTCGTAATATTTTGAGAATACAGTCAAAATTACAAGAATTAAGTCAAAATATTTTGTGAATGAAGTCAAAATTACGAGAATTAAGCAGAAATCATACCATGAGTCACATACTCTCAGGGACAGTATGATTGGAAATAATATTTCACATCTTCGAATGCATTCATTATTTGTAGTGCGCAGCCACCCAATAATAGCAATAAGCTTTGTGCTTTTGGTGCTTTTAATATAAAACAAAGTCTCAGCTTTCAAATTCTGTAATTTTTTATAGCGAAATACAAACAATGTCTTACAATAATGTGTTTTTCAATTATGTGACTTTATTCTCAAAATATTTTGACTTAATTCTTGTAATCTTGACTTTATTCTCAAAATATTTTGACTTAATTCTTGTAATTTTGACTTTATTCTCAAAATATTTTGACTTAATTCTTGTAATTTTGACTTTATTCTCACAATATTTTGACTTAATTCTTGTAATTTTGACTTTATTCTCAAAATATTTGAATTAATTTTTTGTATTTTTGACTTTATTCTCAAAATATTTTGACTTAATTCTTGTAATTTTGACTTTATTCTCAAAATATTTGAATAATTCTTGTAATTTTGACATTATTCTCAAAATATTTTGACTTAATTCTTGTCATTTTGACTTTATTCTCAAAATATTTCCACTTAATTCTTGTAATTTTGACTTCATTCTCAAAATATTTGAATAATTCTTGTAATTTTGACTTTATTCTCAAAATATTTCCACTTAATTCTTGTAATTTTGACATTATTATCAAAATATTTGACTTAATTCTTGTAATTTTGACTTTATTCTCAAAATATTTTGACTTAATTCTTGTAATTTTGACTTTATTCTCAAAATATTTGAATAATTCTTGTAATTTTGACTTTATTCTCAAAATATTTGACTTAATTCTTGTAATTTTGACTTTATTCTCAAAATATTTGACTTAATTCTTGTAATTTTGAGTTTATTCTCAAAATATTTCGACTTAATTCTTGTAATTTTGACTTTATTCTCAAAATATTTTGACTTAATTCTTGTCATTTTGACTTTATTCTCAAAATATTTTGACTTAATTCTTGTCATTTTGACTTTATTCTCAAAATATTTTGACTTAATTCTTGTCATTTTGACTTTATTCTCAAAATATTTTGACTTAATTCTTGTCATTTTGACTTTATTCTCAAAATATTTTGACTTAATTCTTGTCATTTTGACTTTATTCTCAAAATATTTTGACTTAATTCTTGTCATTTTGACTTTATTCTCAAAATATTTTGACTTAATTCTTGTCATTTTGACTTTATTCTCAAAATATTTTGACTTAATTCTTGTCATTTTGACTTTATTCTCAAAATATTTTGACTTAATTCTTGTCATTTTGACTTTATTCTCAAAATATTTTGACTTAATTCTTGTAATTTTGACTTTATTCTCAAAATATTTTGACTTAATTCTTTGAATTTTGACTATTCTCAAAATATTTGACTTAATTCTTGTAATTTTGACTTTATTCTCAAAATATTTTGACTTAATTCTTGTAATTTTGACTTTATTCTCAAAATATTTTGACTTAATTCTTGTAATTTTGACTTTATTCTCAAAATATTTTGACTTAATTCTTGTAATTTTGACTTTATTCTCAAAATATTTTGACTTAATTCTTGTAATTTTGACTTTATTCTCAAAATATTTTGACTTAATTCTTGTAATTTTGACTTTATTCTCAAAATATTTGAATAATTCTTGTAATTTTGACATTATTCTCAAAATATTTTGACTTAATTCTTGTCATTTTGACTTTATTCTCAAAACATTTCCACTTAATTCTTGTAATTTTGACTTCATTCTCAAAATATTTGAATAATTCTTGTAATTTTGACTTTATTCTCAAAATATTTTGACTTAATTCTTGTCATTTTGACTTTATTCTCAAAATATTTCCACTTAATTCTTGTATTTTTGATTTTTTTCTAAAAATTTTTGATTAA